TGTTAATTTTAGTTATTAGATATTTTAGATTCGTTTTTTATTTTATTTCTAGTTGTTGTTTTTAGGCTACCATTACACCGCTTAATTCTTTTGTGTCTTGATACTTTTTAGGCGACTTTGGTTTATGCAAAATCTTGACGAGCTAGATCTCTTTCCGATAGACCACGAAATCGAAAGGACATTCAGAAATCGTAGAAGAGTTCAACGTCAAGCAAGGAGAATGACTGATAACCAAAATCAACCATAGAATCAAGTTCAGCTTCACGAGCCAATACCGTAGTCAAATCAACCAAGAGCTATCCAAAACGAAGCCCTTGTCTTAGTTAGAGATTATGTCAATCCAATTCCAGCACCAATGCAACCAACTGTGGTATATCCTCCCTTTGGACAGCCTAATTTTCACCTTCGACCAAATGTCATCAACTTGTTTCAAAATCACCAAGACATCCAGTTCTTTGGAAAAGCCACGAAAAATCCCCATGAAAAATCCTCATAAGCATATTCTGCTTTTCTCATATTATGTGAAGTGATCAGTCTCGAAGGGATATCAATAGATGCATTCCGAATGAGATTATTCCCTCACACCTTGAGGGACGTTGCTAGAGAATGGTTTTTTTTTGTTTACCACCAGGGAGCATTCAATCATGGAACGATATAGTTCAAAAATTTACGATGAAATTCTTTCCACCTTCTTGAGTTCACAAAATCAAGAATGACGTTCACACCTTCAAGTAGAAAGATTTAGAGAGCTATCCTGAGGCATGGGAGATGTACAAGAATTTTTTTTCAGAAAATACCCCAGCCTTGACATTCCTAAGCAGGCTCAGCAGTATCTTTTCAACTATGGTCTAAAACAAGAGTTCGGAAATATGATAGATGCTTCTGTAGGAGGATCGGTGATGCAACTTGATGTGGATGAGGCATATGACCTGTATGAAAAAATAGCTGAAAACCAATCGATGTGGCCAACCAATAAGGAAACTTCAAGAAAAACATCAGGGTTACATAACGTGGATGCAGTGATAGCACTGGCCACGTAAATGGAAGTTCTTACAATGAAAATGGACAATCTATCTAAGTCAATTAACATGGTACACCAATCGCCACCTGTTTGCGAAAGATGTGGAGCGGATCATGTGAGTACACATTGTCCTTTGGCGTCTACGCATGTTAATCAGCCTGAAGAAGAAAGCTACGCGCAGAACTTTCACAGATAGCAAAATAATCCCTTCTCCAACATATATAATCCGGGTTGGAAGAACCATCCAAAATTTTCTTGGTCCAATAATCAGGTACAAGAACAAGGAAAAAACAAACAGAATAAACCACCAGGGTTCCAAAAACAACAACAGCAAGAGAGAAAGCCATCGTTGGAAGATTTGTTGGCTCAATATATTATTAAAACTGAGACCAACTTTCAGAACCAACAAGCCTTGATCAAGAATTTGGAACAACGGGTTGGACAAATTGCAGCCGCACTATCAGGTAGAGCTCAACGGACATTGCCTAGTAATACTGAAAAAAATCCTAAGGAGGAGGTCAAAGCAATCACTACATGTAGTGACGTCCAGTTACTAGAAATACATATAAAGCAGCCAGCAACTGTCATAGAAAACGCGCCTACCATGGGCGAGGAGCAAGTGGATGAATTAGACAAAGCCACAGAGGAAAAATCAAGTTGAGTCATTAGATAGTCTACAAGTAAAGGCAACTACTCCTGTCAAAGCATATGTTCCTCTGATCTCATTTCCACAGAGATTACAAAAACATAAACTCGATAAGCAATTCCAAAATTTTTTGGATGTGTTCAAGAAGCTGCGCATTAACATACCATTTGCTAAAGCTTTTGCTCAAATGCCTAGCTACGCCAAGTTCATGAAAGATATTCTATCAAATAAGAGGAAGCTAGAGGACAATGAGACAGTCATGCTTACTGAGGAATGCATCACAATTCTCCAACATAAGTTACCACCAAAGTTAAAAGATTCAGGGAGTTTTATTATTCCTTGTAACATTGGTAATTTATATATAGATAAAGCATTGTCTGATTTAGGAGCCAACACCAATAAAATGCCTTTATCGCTTTTTAGGAAACTAGGTTTGGGAGAAGCAAAATCGACAACAGTTTTACTGCAATTGGTTGACAGGTCGATCAAACATCCTCAAGGTATTTGTGAAGATATTATGGTGAAGGTCGATAAGTTTATCTTCCCAGTGGACTTCATTAAACTGAATATGGAGGAACGTAGGGACGTTCCCCTCATATTGGGTCACCCATTTTTGGCTACGGGAAGGGCTCTGATAGATGTGCAAAAGGATCAGTTGATATTGAGGCTAAATGAAAAAGAACTAATAATCAACGTGTTTAGAGCTTTCAGATTTCAAAGTGAACCGGATTCTTGCATGCAGATTGATGTAATAAAAGAAGCGGTGTCAGAGGCATTCAAACTAGATCACCTTGAAGATCCGCTTGAGGCGTGTTTAGTGCATTCTCAGGATTTACCATCAGAAAAGGAGGAGCTAAAAGAATGTGCACTTTTTTGGCAGCCACACCACAATTTTTCAAGTAACCACAACTGGAACTCGGTGAGAGACCCACAACACCTTTACCATCTATACAACAAGCTCCAGCTCTTGAACTCAAACATCTGCCCACACATCTTCGTTATGCATACTTGGGGGAAAAGAACTCACTTCAAGTAATTATCTAAAACAATCTTACAGAAGTGAAGGAGGATCAGTTGTTAAGGGTACATCGGGAGCACAAAACAGCAATAGGATAGATGATATCAGATATAAAAGCGATCAGCCCTTCATTTTGCATGCATGAGATTCTAATTGAAGAGGACTACAAAGCTTCAGTTGAGCATCAGCGTAGATTAAATCCGACTATGCAAGAAGTGGTAAGGAAAGAGGTATTAAAGCTTCTGATCTAGGGATCATCTATCCCATATCAGACAGTCATTGGGCGAGTCCAGTACAGGTCGTACCGAAAAGGGGAGGGATCATGGTGGTTCCAAATGAGAACAACGAGCTCATCCCGACACGCATAGTCACAGGTTCAAGAGTTTGTATTAACTATCGCAAACTCAACAACGCCACAAGGAATGATCACTTTCTCCTTCCCTTCATTGATCAAATGCTAGAAAGACTTGCTAGACATGCTTACTATTGCTTCTTGGATGGTCATTCGGGGTACAACCAGATTCTTATAGCGCCAGATGATCAAGAGAAGACGACCTTTACATGCCCTTATAGTACTTTTCCTTATAAGAGGACGCCCTTCGATCTTTGCAACGCTCCTACCACCTTTCAACATTGTATGATGTCTATTTTCTCGGACATGATGGGAAATATCATTGAGATGTTTATGAATGATTTCTCAGTATTTGGAAAATCATTTAAATAGTGCCTTGAACATTTGGGAAAAGTGTTGCAGCGGTGTGAAGACACAAACCTTATTTTAAATTGGGAAAAATGTCATTTCATAGTTCAAGAGGGGATTGTGTTAGGGCATCTGATTTCAACGTAGGGTATTGAGGTGGATAAAGCTAAGATACAAGTCATCGAAAAACTACCACCATCGGTAACAATGAAGGAAGTTAAAAGTTTCCTGGGTCACGCTGGGTTCTACCGTCACTTCATCAAAGACTTTTCCAAAATCTCGAAGCCATTATGCATTCTATTGGAAAAAAGAGCTCCATTTTACTTTTCTGAGGAGTGCTTGACTGCTTTCAACACTTTAAAGGAAAAATTGGTTTCTGGTCCAGTGTTGGCTCCTCCATACTGGGATTATCTATTTAAGCTTATATGTGATGCCAGTAATCATGTAGTGGGGAAAAGATTACCCATGTTATTCATTATGCCAGAAAGACTTTGGATGAGGCTCAAATGAATTATGCTACTACAGAGAAAGAGCTTTTGGCAGTGGTGTTCGTCGTTGATAAATTTAGATCATATTTGATTGGGTTAAAAGTGACTGTCTACATAGATCACTCAGCATTGAAATATGTAATGAGCAAGAAGGATGCAAAGTCGAGACTTATTCGATGGATACTCCTATTAAAAGAATTTGATTTGGAGATCCGAGATAAAAAGAGGAGCGAGAATGTTGTTGTAGATCACTTATCTCGCCTTGAATCACATGAGTCACACTCTAAGAAGGAGATCGATAAAGTTTCCCATGATGAAATGCTTTTTCAGGTTATCACTACAGCATGGTACATCGATTACGTCAATTATTTGGCCCTCTCCATCATCCCACCAGACTACTCAAGTTACCAAAAGAAGAAATTCTTCAGTGACATAAAACACTACTTCTGGGATGATCTAATTCTTTATAGAAAGGGTCCAGATCAGATCATATGTCATTGTGAGCTAGAAGTAGAGCAGCATCAAGTATTCGAATCATGTCACTCTGCACCTTCGCAGCAACCAAGATAGCAGCAAAGATACTGTAATCGTGTTTTTATTGGCCTACACTGTTCAAGGATGCCCATTATATGGTGAAACATTGTGATAAGTGTCAGAGGACTGGAAACATCTAAAGGAGAAACGAGATGCCTTTGAACAGTATTTTGGAGGTTGAAATATTTGACGTTTGGGGCATTGACTTCATGGGACCATTCCCTCCATCCTACGGTCAACAATACATACTGGTGACAGTGGACTACATGTCCAAGTGGATTGAAGCTGTGGCTTTGCCAACTAACGATAGTCGAGTAGTAACTCAATTTCTGAAGAAAAATATTTTCACGAGGTATGGTACCCCGAGGATGATTATTAGGTGGTGGAAAGCATTTTTTGTAACCGCCTATTTGCTTTGTTGTTGGCCAAATATGAAGTGAAACATCGTGTCTCAACTCCATACCATCCTCAGACTAGTGGGCAAGTAGAAATCTCCAATAGGGAGTTAAATAAGATTCTCGAAGTTATGGTCAATGCATCACGTAAAGATTGCGTTAAGAAACTAGATGATGCACTTTGGGCATATAGAACAGAATTTAAGACTCCAATTGACATGTCTCCCTATCGGTTGGTATTTGGGAAGGCGTGTCATCTGTTAGTTGAGTTAGAGCATAAAGCATGCTGGGTGACACACTTGCTCAATTTCAATATGAGAGCAGTAGGAGAAAAGAGGGTTCTACAGTTTCATGAGTTATATGAGTTTCGTTTGGATTCATATGAGAATGCAAAGATTTACAAGGAAAAGACCAAGAGATGGCACGACAGGCATATAAAGGAGAAGGAGTTTGAGGTTGGTCAGCAAGTATTGATGTTCAATTCACGCCTCAAGCCTTTTTTGGGAAAGCTCAAGTCTAGGTGGTCAGGTCCCTTCACAATAGTAGCTGTATTTCCACATGGTGTTGTAGAAGTGGTGTCTCAAGATCAACAAAAGAGGTTCAAAATAAATGGACAACAGTTGAAAGCTTATTGGAGAGGTGTCTACTCCAATGAGAAAACAACCGTGGCACTTGACAATGCAGAGTAGCCAGGACAACAAAGTCTAGCTAAAGACTATAAATTAAGCTCTTATTGGGAGGCAACCCAATTTCTAATCCTGATTTATTTTTCTTTCTTTATGGCATTGCATATAGATTTGTTTTAGTTATTATTTTGCATTAGATTTAGGCACGTTTAAATTTATAGAGTATCATCATCCGATCATGTTTTTCACGGAGGCCCTTAAATATAATATTGGTTATTTCAAGTGTTTGGACTAAGTAACACATGTTTTAGATTATTTGATCTCTAATGTTTGATTTGATTGCCATATGCAGGAACATGACGTCGTGAACACTCAAACGAACATCGACCACGGGGAAGCATGATGAGAAAAATTGTCTAGCCGTCATCTACAGTATCTTCCACATTAAATAGGAAAATTCAGGAAGTACCTTCCTCCTTTTCTTCCCCGTCCCCTTATATTCTTAATTATGTTTTAAGATATTGAGGACAATGTCTGGTTTAAGTTTGGGTGTGAAAAACACTGTGTTTTTTATTTTCATATGTTTTCGTGCGTTGTTTTCATATGTTTAATTAACAAAAAAAACTGTTGTGTGTGTTAAGTTAAAAAAAATAAATTTTATTTTTAAAAAATCGTTAAATTTTTAATTGTTTATTTTTTATTATGACGTCGTGAACACTCAAACGAACATCGACCACGGGGAAGCATGATGAGAAAGATTGTCTAGCCCTCATCTACAGTATCTTCCACATTAAATAGGAAAATTCAGGAAGTACCTTCCTCCTTTTCTTCCCCGTCCCCTTATATTCTTAATTATGTTTTAAGATATTGAGGACAATGTCTGGTTTAAGTTTGGGTGTGGAAAACACTGTGTTTTTTATTTTCATATGTTTTCGTGCGTTGTTTTCATATGTTTAATTAACAAAAAAACTGTTGTGTGTGTTAAGTTAAAAAAAATAAATTTTATTTTTAAAAAATCGTTAAATTTTTAATTGTTTATTTTTTATTGTGTGCTTGTATGGGTTAGACAGTTCGGCTAACAATGATGATTAAATTTGAAATTTGGTATTGATTTATGAATTGTGGATAGGGAGCATGCTAGATTGATTGAACCTTAAACTTGCAAAACTTAATATTATATGTGTACTAGAATTGAGTTTGACATTTTAATGAAATGAGTTGATTTATACATGTGATAGATTGTTTTAATTGGACATAGATACGTTAAACAAACCATACTAATTATTTATCCGTAGACCAAATTTAGCACAATTTGGGGAGATCTTACTGTTGTAGGAAGTCGCGGATGTGAATGTGGATTCCTTGTGTGAAAAAGTTTGTGTGGATTGTATTAGATTAACATGATAAAATTGGGTGAAAGTCTTAAATTGGGGGTCGGTTTGCTTGAATGAGTATGTGATAAGGGACATTGCACTAATCATGGCATTTATTTTGAAATTTAAAACTTCTCTTCGGAGCTTTTATGACTCGAGCAATTAATTCTGCATGGGTATCTTAAAGTGGATTCCTTGTGTGAAAAAGTTTGTGTGGATTGTATTAGATTAACATGATAAAATTGGGTGAAAGTCTTAAATTGGGGGTCGGTTTACTTGAATGAGTATGTGATAAGGGACATTGCACTAATCATGGCATTTATTTTGAAATTTAAAACTTCTCTTCGGAGCTTTTATGACTCGAGCAATTAATTCTGCATGGGTATCTTAAAATCTAGTGCCCTAAAGTCATCTAAGTTGGGAGTCATTGGCCTAAAGCTCGTTACAGGGATCATTTAAAAAGCAATCGAATTTGAAATTGTCCTAAAAATTGTTCTATTCGAAACCTTTTTTACTTGGGTTATTAAACCTGTAAGGGTATTTGAAAACCTAGTACCCTAAAGTCATCTAACTGGGAGTCATCGGCCTAAAGTCTGTTACATGGATCATCTAGAAAGCTTAAGGGGGAGTGCAAAGCAAAAGCACTAAATGTCTTGTAAGTCCCAACACTTGTTCAATGAAGGATCATTTAAGAAGCAATCGAATTTGAAATTGTCCTAAAAATTATTCTATTTGAAACCTTTTTTACTTGGGTTATTAAACCTGTAAGGGTATTTGAAAACCTAGTACCCTAAAGTCATCTAACTGGGAGTCATCGGCCTAAAGTCTATTACATGGATCATCTAGAAAGCTTAAGGGGGAGTGCAAAGCAAAAGCACTAAATGTCTTGTAAGTCCCAACACTTGTTCAATGAAATTTGACTTTCGATGAAGGATAATTAACTTAATTGAACCTTGGAGGTCGAAGCAATCAAATAATTTGAAAATCCTTGTTCATTGATGTGTTGACTTGTAACTAGTGACGTCCACCTGAATTGGAAAGGGTGAGGATAGTAATGAGAAATTCAATCTTAGATTACACACTTGGAAAAGAGTGAAAATGAATAAATTTGGGGGTGTGTGAATCTTACGAGAGATGAAAAGATATATTTGATCGTAGAGGGTCCGGAATTGGAACAACTTGTGAATTCATTAATGTCTACTTAGTTCTTCACACACACACGCCGGTTTTGCATTGGAAAAGTGGATATTAGATTGGTATTGTGACTTTGAAGTAGTTTGTAGATTTAACACCGTGATTTCAAATCCTAAGGTAAAAAGCTAAACGGTCCAACCAAATATTTTTACATGTTTGTGTGTTTGTTGCTATTTAAATTATAGTTTTGTTCGAGGATGAACAACGGTTTAAGTTTGAGAGTATTTGATGAGTGCAAATTGTTCACTTATTTAAGTTGTATTATTAAACTTTTATGTCGTCAATTTATTAATTTCTATTTAACTTAAGGTAATTTTCTTTGTGTTTTTAGTGATGGACTAATTGGAAAATGATGAAGGATTAATTGTTTTTTTTATGCAAAGTTTGGAGATCAAATTTCATACTTTGAAAGTTGAGGACGTGAAGAAAATACTAACGTTGGATTTAAATTCATTAAACAATTGAATTCCTAATTTAACAAAAAGAAAGTGGGCTGGAGTTAGTTTTTTCGGTGGAAGTGGACTCTAAATTGAAGACAAAAGCATGGGTTGCTGTGGCTAATGTTTATAAATATGCAAAACACACAATTGGGCCTTGGATTGGAGTAAAAAAGATATACGGTTTTCCAAGTATTGAGTAGATATATTTTGGAGGAAAAAAAGGGCTGTCATCTTAGGGGAATTAAAAAACACGCCAATCGGATCAATAGGGCGGCTGTGGGAGGAATTGAAAGAAAATTGCAGCTGCCTTTATATATTTCACATGCCAACTTGGAGGAAAAACATTTTTGGAGGCTTTTGCTGAATTTAAAAGTATACATACACATTCCGTACACCGGCAGACAGGATTGGAAAAGGAAAAAGAGCTGTTGTGTTTTATGATATATAGACAAAAAGGCAGCTGGATTTGGAAAGAAGTTGGAGAAAATTATACTAAATAAAAATAGCAACATTGTGGGGAGTCATATACACGGTGTTGGCAGCTGCAATATACAAGGAAAAGGAGGGGGATTTGATTCTAAATTGGAGACTGCAAAAAAAGGGGCAGCTTGCTGGGGAATTTGTTTACAAACCAATTGGGGGAAAAACATGTCTACCTAGACAAGCCACGCACGCGCAAAAGTGGAGAAAATTCGTGGAGTTAATCACGTTCCGTCAATTTCTCGGTAATGTCTCTCCAATTTTACGCGTTTAATTCCTATCTTATTCTAGGCTAAATATTTTCATGTATTGTATGGATAACATAACTGTTTAATTCTTAGTTTTAATTCGAGACATGTGTTTTTATCTTAATTATTGTGTTGTGATTTTATTAATGTGCATAATTATATTGTTTTAATATTTGCGCACCATTAGGACAATAAGTTGCTTATTCTTAGTGTTGAAAAACTCATGATATGTAGAACACTATTATTTGGATACACGAGCAATAAATGTTAGGAATAATATTTGTGGCGTGTGCGATAATTTGTGATAATCCTAAATCGAAATGCATGTTTGCCATATGAATTCGGACTATGAATAGGATCCTCTCGTGGTAAACATAGGTTTATTATATCTTGGGAAAGAATAATAAATAAAAGTGGAATTATCAATCGTCGCAATTGCATGAATTGAGATAATTATTATTGGTTGAGAATTAGAACTAAGAATTGATCAGTAGAGTCGAAAATCCAATACGTTCGTAGATTTGATTTTTAAACCAACTTTCATTGTTTTCACAAGTTTTAGTTATAAAAATTATTTATCTATTCTTTCGATCGTCTTTTAGTTACAAACATGAATTTAAATATATCAAATATACTAAAATTAATCATTATTCCCTGTAGGATGACAACTCTCTCATCACGATTATTACTTGTACAACAAACCCATACGCTTGAGGCATTTTGACGAACAATTACCAAATCAATCTTTTCAACTGCAAAGTATCTACCAAGTGTCATTACATTGCTTTCACAATCTTATTCTTGACCAATAAACTTTAAACAAGTGTTGCTTCCAAATCTTTGTCACCGTACAAAGAAGCACACTAAGATTGAAGTTCCTAAATATAATTCTTGACACTAACTATTATAATGTATGGTTCGATAATGATGGTTTGAATCACTTTGCCTAAAATATTGGACCTTTATGCTTGGCTTGGTCTTTCTCCCCACCACTCCCCAACAAATAGTAAATGTACATAAGAAACTAAGCAATGTAACTTTTCTTGTGCACTATAAAATCAAGAATCTCTTAATAAATCCATAAAAGAACAATTCCAGATCTCGTACTGTCTTGTTCAAAAGCTTTATATATACAATTTCTAGGACTAGGATGATACACTTCATTAATTACTTGCATATGGCATTCTGGGAAAAAAGAAGAAGCACTAACTTTGGCTAATAAACAAATGTCCAAATTTTCTATTAATTCTACTCAGTCCACGAGTCTTTGATATCATCTTCATTTACATATTCTGATGTAATGCCCGATTACTGGTTTGGTATCAAGA